TCACTGCTGAGCTGTGCTTAAGCTGGCAGGGGCTCTTGCAAGCCTGGGACACCACACCGGCACTTGACAAGGTCCAGGCTAAACTCCTGGCTCTGCCAACAGGCTTGCTCAGCTAAACCCATGCAGCCCAGTTACTGCACTTACCCAGGAGCTCAAAATACAGTCAGCAATTCTTCTCTGTCCATCCCACAGGGATGCATTACAAAGATGCTGCAGCAGGTGTCCTTGGACAAGGATGGGAACCAAACAAACACAGCAGGCAGTGAAATGCACTACAAGGGTCCAAGCAGAGTCACCTGGGCGCCACAAAACATCTGACAGTGAGAGCACAGCCCTGCAGCTGTGGCAGGGGGACATGACAGCTCCCTGGTGCCCTATTTGACACACACACAGGAGCAAAGGTGACTGTTCAATACTGTGTCAGCAACATACCCAGAAAGGGCTGCTTTCCTCCAGACACTCCTGCACTTCAATGCAGATAGGTCACACCATGATGCCTGCACAGAGCTCACCCCCCACAACCCATTTCCTCAGCTGACAAGAAGCAGACGTGAGGTTTTATCTCCCCAGTGGGCACAGCTCTGGCTGGTGTGGAGAGAGGCTGGTGGCCGTGGGAACACATCTGCACCCAGGTCAGCTCTGCTCCATGGGTTTTATCTACATCCACTCCAGGGCTGTGCAGCTTTCAACACCCTCAGTGTCAATGACTTCATGCCCCCAAGTGCCATAAACTTCTACAACCACAATAGCTCACAGATGGGTATGGATGGTTATAAAATCATGTCCTAAATTAGGACAGCAAGAAGCTGAGATTGGAAGAGTAGGAGGAAGTCAGGAAATCCCAGGAGATGATGGTGGGGGAGGGATTTAGTCTCTTTAGAAAACAATAATGCAGTTTAATCTGTTTTTCTTTTGACTTTACACACTAAAATAAGCTTCTCAGCTTCTGGGGCTGTCACAAATCATAAGGAAAATAAGGCGACTGGAAACCCATCAGCAGAGTAAGAGCCATACAGTAATAATCCTGAGGAGCTGCACAGGGCTTTCCATCTTCAAAGTCTTTTACAGACAGTAATTTATTAATCTGCAAATTTCCCCTGGCCAAAAGTAGCTGTTCTGCCTTTCTGCTAAGCGTGAGATCCACAGTGCAGTTCAGCACTCAGGAGAGACAGTGCAGGCAGTGGCTCTGACCTCTGGAGCTAGACCTCTGTTTCTTTCTCACTGCAGCCAGAACTCCGCTGCTCCAGCCACCACCTGAACCCAGAAACATTGATGATATCTGGCACTTTGGAACCAGCTTCAGAGCAGACAAAACCAAAGTAGCTGAAAGCCTCTGATATGGGGGAGTGTAAATAGACATGTTCACAATCCAGCAAATAACAGCAAAGCCTGAAATACAGCCCCCAGGAGAGAAACTCCTGGCTGCCTTCCAGCCACTACCTGCCATGCTGGGGTATCATTCTGGCCCAGTCCTGGGCTCATCCTACCACACAGGCTGTCTGATAGCCCCCAAGGGAGCTACAGAGGCATTTCCCATGCACACACGATGATTCCCCCACCAAAGGGCTATTTATGCACAGCAGGTATCTGCTCACACTACATGGGTCCATTAGATAATCAGCATGAGGCTGCTCCTCCTCTCCTGGCAGCAATATTCTTCTGCTTTTGCAATTCCCTAAGATAGTACTCCCAGCCATGGTCATCTCCCCGGCCCTCACGCTACGAAAGCTCTTGGAGGGTGAGAGAGCAGCCTGGTTAGCAGAGAGGAAAAAATGGAATAAGAAGCACAATTACAGCCACATCTTCTTTATAAGTCAGCATCTAACACTGGTCAGATTTGTTCAGAAATTGGAAGATAACATTATTCTGTATTCATAGCAGCTGTTATGTTCTTTGTCCAACTGGTTTTTCATCTCTTTTGAGCCACTGTATATTTATATATTTATACGACTTCAGTAGTGGCAAAGAAACTATTGTACAACCAGACCCGGGTCCATCGACTTTTGTTATCCTTCCCTGGCTATCAGAACATCTGGGTTCATTAAGCATCCTACAACATGAGTTCCATCTGAAGGATGGCTTAGCTAGGCAAGGAAAGCAGAAGACCTTGACTACCACTGTAAACACTGACCCAAATGTCATGAGTGATGCACTCCATGCACTGCAGGTCATGGATATTCTCAAGACCCAGAAAAGATTTGCCCACGCGTTCAGCATGAGCCAACAGAAGACTCAGGCACCAATTCAGTCTCAGGCTCTGCATCTCTTACTCTACACTACTCAGATCACATTTCTTCCCTCGTACAGCTTGCACCTCCCTTTCAGCAACTGATTTTGTTTCAGCACCAGCCTCCATACGCAGCAGAAACAGCAGAACCCAGAGAACAGATGTTTAGAGCCACAGTGCTGTAGGCAAAATCTGGGGGGAAATAAAGTTTGTGGGTTTGTCTTTCCAGTAGGAAGCAGGGTGAAGCATAATGCTAAAGCTTTCTGACACACTGCCAGAGAGACTGACAGCCATAGTGGCTTAACTGGATGGAAAGGCCACTTGCAGCCAGAGCAATGCTGGTATTTTAGAGCTGAAATTTAGCAAGTGTTGGTTCCTCACCTCCTCTGTAAGCTCACAGAACCTGAGACTCAGCAGAGCTGGTACCCCTGGTTTAGGCAGTCCCTGGTCATTATTGCTGACCAGATTGCTCCACTGGGAAGGATGGCAGAGACAGGAAAAGCGGCAGCAAACCACAAGACGACTCCTGTCCCTGCCTCCAGCCTTCCTCAGTCCATCCTGGGCTGGAGAGAGAGCTGGTCCCAACAATACATCATTACATGACTTAGTAGTCAAGGCACAGAAAAGGACTCAGCTGAGATGACAAATCCCTACCAGGTCACACATGTTAAATATCCCGGGAACCAGGTTCCTCAGTGAGAGCTACCCGTCTCCATGGCCCTGCTTGATGTTAGGTGACCACCAGAGCAGCTGTAGACTGTGCACAGCCCTTCTGAATTCACCCCAGATAAGCTTAGCTCTGCTCCCCCCACCTACATACCCTGCTCCAAGAAGGAAAAGCAAGCCCAAATGCTGTAACATTTTCAGAATAAGGCCACTATATCATACTGCTATGTATTTATGACTTTGCAAGGGTGAAACGAGCTCCAGTCTCCTTTTGGTGCCAGTCCCAGGAAACCCTGCAGTGAAACAGAGGGCTGCACAGACGGCTGCCCCTCCATCCAAGCACAAACAGCCATCCAAGCCCATCATGAATAACAAAGGACATTCTGACAGCCCAAACCGGTTTATGAAGTCCATGGCACAAAAAGGAAGCTTTGAACTGAAGAGCACGTCTGACACCCACAGACCTGCAGGAAATTAAATGTATATACTGCAGTGGATTTGCAGGAGAAGTGTATTTTAACTGATCACATGTCTCATATATTGAGACTTGACTTACATTCTTGCAGCACTCTACAAGGGTTCTGGCCACCCTGTACAGCAAATCTCTGCTAAAGGAGACATGTTTAAAAAGTGCTAAATGCCCTGCAGAAATGCATGGAGGGTTCTGGTTCTGCCAGATCAAGTGGCACGAGCCTGTATGGCCCAAATGCCAGGGTGCTCATTTCTGAAATCAGCTTCTCAGCCAACTGTGTTAGCTTTTAGAGCTGCTCTAACATTTCCTGGGCAATCCTGATTCAATTGCACCTACCTCTCATTTCTGCAAAATCCCAAGATGACTGCACGTGGGGTGTTGTAATGCTGCCTCAGCAGGAGGAGGATGTTGCGTTGGTGGAGAGCAGAACAGCTCGTCCAGAAGCACAAGGAAAGCAGGGATTTTCCCAGCGAGCAGCTGAGATCCATGTTGCTGGGTCCCTCCTTCCCCACACACTCCCACTGCCTAGGGCTTAGTGGAGGAGACCTAGGCCGTGTATTCTTTCTCCTTTGCTGTTTCCCCTTTGCTCACCACCCACCCAGCCCTTGTTAGCCAGGATGGGACATCCCCCACTAAAGATCACAGCCTACTGTGAATGCCTGCAGCCCTTGGGCAGCCCAAGGGAAAAAACCTCCCAGGCTTCAGCCTCTGCAATGAACACTGCACTGAGATGAACCTTGCTGAAGTGCACGTTGTGAATCTGGCCCACAGTAATTCAGTGTGGTCCAAGAGAGAATGACAGAAGAGCTGTTCATCTGCTCGGGGTATATTGTATCTGCTTGTTTGCCAGCATTGCAGAGGGACAAGAGTTCATGGGGGGGGACTCGTCAAACCCCTGTACAGCCCTTATTTCTGAACACTTCCCCCCATAAAACCAGCTCCTGTTCTTTCCTCCCTCCCCCTTTCCACTTGCCTCCTGCAAATCATGCTGTCTCCTTCCACCCCCAAATAGGAAGTCCGGAGCCGAGACATGCACAATCTGCCTCTTCACAAGAGCTGGGCTGAACGAGTGCCAGAGGAGCTGCGAGCATGACAACATATTTCCTGTCAGGAAAGTGACTCAGTGAGACGGGTATCAGAGCTCCTCTTACTCTAGAAGTTCCCCTCTCCCCTTGCATTGCTAAGGCATGAGTCAGAATTGGAGAGCTGAATCTCAGTCTCCTCCGGATCCAAGCAGGGATAGCAGAGTTCAGGTTCAAGCCTGGGTCCTTCCTGCAGCTCAGTGACAAGGCAGCTCCATGGGCCAAGCCCTGGATCCACCCCTCACAGAAGGGCAATAATGATACTAATGACAAATGATAATAATGACTAATGATAATAATGACAAAGGGGACAGCTGGAGTTTGCAAAGCACTTTTAGGTTGAGATGCTGCTGCTGTTTGCTCATGCACCTCTTCACCCACACTGGTCATTGTACAACAGCCCACCAGAACCAACACTGTGTTCATGCATTTACTAAAGTATTTTATACACAACCATTTAATCCAGAAATACTGCAAATGCTCAAAACTCACAGCAGACAGTTTTCTTCTCTGCACAGTAAGTGGGCAGGTCCATCACACGCCATGTCCTTACCTGAGCCTCTGCCGAGGGTGACCATGGACAGCCAGAGTGAAACCAGCAGGACACTGACCATCTTCATCCTGGGAGACAAAGCACACAGACCTGGTTATTAGACACTGTTTTACCACTGCAGGCCATTTTTTAACTCTGTGTGTTTATTCCTCCGTTCACCCAGTGATCCTTTAATTCTGGCACATCCCTGTTTTATTTCATTAAGATTCCTTAAGAACAGCGGCTGCACGGCAGCACCACTCCGCCTGCGGGCAGCTTGCCAAGCCTGGGCGGTGATGGCTCTGAAGAGGACAGCCCAGCTCATTGACTTAGGTCACCAGAATGGTCTACATCAGGGAGCACAAGGAGTCAAATCGATGTTTGCAGGCTACAAATCCCAAGCTCTGACTCCCAAAGGAAGGTCCTTTGCCAAGACCTCCTTCTGGTCATCTCTAAGAACAAGTGCAGAGAGCGCTCGCAGTGGCTGCGGCACATCTGCACCGAGTGCTTGTCCCACACTCTGACAGGACAGCCACACCAGAGCAGTCCCAACTGGCAGCAGTCCCAAGGTGTGCTGCCAGAGCCTGCTTCAACCTGCTCCTGCAGGCAGTGGAGGCAAGCCACCCGCTCTTCTCAGTCAAAACCTCCTTGGAACTCGCAGGAGTAAACAAACGCCAGGTTTGTACACTTCTCAGAAAGGATCTAAACAAAGGCTTATACTTTCTAAGCATCAGTGATAAGCAAAAGACAATACCAAACTTTTCCATTCCCACTACAGAACACAATTTCCTGCAATTTGAGATAAATGTACACTGCCAGAGTTTCACTGGCTGCCCACTCCAGTATCTGGCATTCGGCTCTCAGAGCTGCTCACTCACTGGAATTAAATATCCCTCTGTTTCAAGGTTTTTCAGGATGCAATTTATAAGCTGGTAGTCATGAAAACTGACATCTACTAGATGCTTTCATTAAAGGGGTTAAGGTCACATTTGATATTCCTGTGTGCTGTCAGATCACAAAGGGAGAAGAGATGGTTAAAAGGCTGAACTTCATCAAAGCATCTCAGCTCTGCCAGGCAGATGCAGTAATGAGCATGGTGATACTGTCAGGAATGTGCTCATGAGATGACAGAGAAACCTGCTCCATCAGGGTGTGTTAAAAGTGTGGGGGGAGAAGCCACAGAGCTCCCTTAAACACCTCCCTCAAAAACCTGTCCAGAATATATGCAGTACACAGAAGGGCTTTGAGCAAAAGCAGAGAACACCTATGATTGCACAGATTGCAGAGATGAACAAGAATGCGACACGTGAACTGCACTACTCAAAACCCAGCAGCGGATATTGAATCCTTCCTTTTCAGTGCTTACATCTGAAAAGCCTTTGTGCGATGCCTTCCCTCTGCTGGGCTCATCTCAAAGAGACAAAGGAAATCTGAAGCATGCCTGTTCTTCCCTGCACAGTCCATGGAAAGGGCTGCACACTGCCTCTGAAGCCATCAGGCTTTCAAAAATGGTCAAGAAGCAAGGAAAAAAAATGAGTTTTTTTCCCCTGGGGTCCAGCTGAGAGGGCTGATCATCCCTTACCACCTTCCTCCAAACTGAAATGCCAGCTGCTTATCAAATTCCTCTTTATTGCCACCTACAACCAGCTTCCAACATTACTTAAGACTCCATAGGGAAGAAACAATATTAAGTACTCCCACCCCTTGGAAATGCTGAAGAAAGATAAAACATTTTTATGCCATCAGATAAATGGACAGAGAGATCCAACATGCTGCACTTCTGGTAGGAATGAAGGAACTTTTGGTAATTGAGATGCTTGAAGAGAAGACGTGTAAAGAGTGGCAGGGAATCATTCCCATAATCATGATCCCTCATGGTTCCCTCTCCATTTGTCATTAGCCAAATGCACAGCGTGTCCTAACTCACCCTTATTTTCCAGCGACTCTCTCCTGCATTTTGCACAAATCAGACTGAATTCAGCCCTGAAGCAAGCAGGAACAACTACGGACTTTGGATGAGTTTCCCTTGTATTGAGCAAGGCCCATTTGCGTGGCCTGAGGCCAAAATAAACTACTACATTTCACTCGGTGGTACACGAACTCTGCAGTGAGCTAATATTTACATCCATTAGCTGTGCTCATGGGAACATGCTCCTTTCAACTGTCTCACAGAGCCACCAGGTCTCCGTTCCCAAGAGCAAGGTATCCAAGATTTCCATGCTCTGCCTACTAGTAGGAAAATCCTTTTTTTCTTCCTCTACCCAGCTATAAAATCAGAAGCCTTACACACAGAGTGATTTACTTCTGGTTCCTTCCAGGCTTTCCAGAGATCTTATCAGTGGAGACAGACAGACACAGAGCCTGTCAGATTACAGCAATTTCTCCATTACAGAGAAGGGACACAGCTGACCACAGCCCCGGCTGCTCCCACTCTACACAAAATGCAAAGGACCATGGAAAGGACATGCATGGAGTCAAGGGCTGGTCAAGGGGAGGCATCACACCTTTCTGGATGCCTGACCATGCCAGGATTTGCCAGCCCAGCTCCATCCCTGTGGCACACGATTACTCAAAAATACTCCAAAACCCCAGTAGCCCCAAACCTGTGACATCCCCCCAGACAAAAAGGTCTGCCCACAGCAGTCCTGTGGTGACACAGAAGAGCATTACATCCTGCTGCAGAGAGGGGTGGGTTTTGCAATGCCCTAAAGAACCTGACACCACAAGACCACCCTGGTCTTGCCAGGAACAGAAGAGTTTTCTCAACCTTTCCCAGCTTCTGTGTTTCGTGACACCACAGAGCATGTTGCCATTTTTCCTGCCTGTGATGCAATTCCAGTGGTGTCTGATGAACTTCTTGTGCAATTCTGTAGAACTGCACCGAACACCAGCTTCTGTGGCTGCAACCAAAGGAGCCAGAGGCCAGGGAGTGCAAACCGAGGCTGCAGCAGAAGGCTTCTCCCAACTGCATCCACCCAGTGCAAATAAAAACAAAAGGAGAATAAAATCAGTGAGCAGGAGAGCTCACCAGCTCAGCAATCACACTGCAGCTAGAAAGCAGGCAATCAGAGCAGCCAGAAGGCAGCCGGAGAGCTCTGATACATCCTCAGCACTCCAGGAACTTCTCACGAGACCAATATACTCTGAGGTGCTCTTAATGTCTTCATAAATTAACATTTTAATAATAATTCATAGAGCGGTTAGGGAAAATGATCCATCACAGCCCTTGCTAGAATTTTTTTTTAAGGAACTTAACTTGAAATGTTCACTTTGTTTCAGATCAGAAATTTTTCCCTTTTCCTTCTGGAGCACTTTTTTCTTCAAACTTTCACCTTCTGTCTACTGAGGAGCAAAGAAAAGTGGGGTGGGGGGAAGCACAATCACGGAAGTGTCTCATGCTCTTAACATCAAAGGAGGTGGAAAATCTAATTTTTTTCATTTCATACTGGTCACAAGTGGCATTTCTGTCAGAAAAAAACAGGAGTATTTTTATATAAAACACCTTTTAATAAAACACCCTTGCCAAAGAGACCCCAGCAAGGCATCATTCCCTCCTGCCTTTAGCAGCATGGACTCTGCAAAGCCCACACACTTTACCAGCAATTATAAAACCAAAGACAGATGTCAAGTAATTAATGAAGAGAACTGCACTCAAAGCAACTGCTGCACACCTATTCTCAAAGACACTGTACCAATTCTACAGAACAATGCTGCATTTTCCAGGAAAAATGCCTTTGTCCCTCCTGACCAGAGGCCTCTAGGGAGAGCTGATAGGTTTTTTGCTTTTTATGGAGAAGTCACACTATGGCCTGCAGAACAAAAGTGCCCTTCAGAACCTTGCCACTAAGTGCTCTGACTGAAAGGGAGTGTAAAATAAAGCAGTTCTTGAAAGAGGAAATAAATAATTTCAGCCCAAGCACGTTTTGCATAGTATTTTCTTTCTGTAATTCTGTCCCAATTCAAAAGCATTTGAGAACCCCAAAAAATGGGATACAGACACAGGAAGGTTGGCAAAATCCAGAGTGGGCTAGCTTAGGGAATGCTTTGGTTCTGTGCCACATGGACTTGGAGATGAAGGTTGACTGATGGGCTGCAGAGCAGAGCTGGTGCTCAGGAAAGGGGCTCAGCTCTCTGCTCCCAGCCACAGCCTGCCCACAAACCCTGGGTCCCTGCACCATCACACAGAGCACTGGAGAAGGCTGCTCGATGAGTTTGCTGGGTTTCTGACGGGGAAAAACAGACATACAGTTCAAGTAAATTTAAAGAATCCAAAAGGCAAACAAAGGGCAGCCTGAAAAAGAAGCTACAGAAAAGTAACAGCAAAAACACTAATGGAAAATGGGAAAAGGCCCTTCAGCCCCCCAGGAAACACTTTTGCTTTTCAGTATGTGCAGGAGTAAGTCAGACAAAAGGAGGAATTACTGTAGCATAAACCATCTTGGTGCCACTTAGCCAGGGCTTGCACAGTGTCTCTCTGACCCTGTGTCTCCTCCAGAGGCCACGTGGGCACTGCCTGGCACTGCCCTTGGCTGTGCTGCCCATGGTGCCACTCTGTCCTGCCCGAAGGGAGCCCCTCCTGCACAGAGCTGGTCAGTGCCAGGGACAGCCCTCCAGAGGAACAGAATGTGATACCTAGGCAGAAAGACAGGCCATGGCTTTTGGAAGTGCAGCCTTTACTGCCCAGGAGGAATAACCGCATTCATGACAATTTTCATCCCAGGAAGAGAGCAGGGAGGAATGCAGCAGCAGTTTGGTGATGAGCACCAAAAGCAGCTCGCAGCACTTTCCTTGCTCTCATGCATGCTACGCCACACTCATCACTTCAAACACAGGCACAGTGACCAGAGGGCCCCAACGCTGGCCTTGCAAAAAACATCCACAACTCTCCTGAGGGCAGGGGGCCCAATTTGTCTTGGCAAGCAGCTCCCAAATAGCCAGGCACATTTCAGCAGGGATCAAGCAGAGCTGAAGCCTGCCCTGCAATCAGGGATATCACAGGAGCCACAGTCACTGCATCTACTGGTGACACATCCAAGGCAGGGACCTGCACAATCAGTGCTGGAGTCCCACCTGGGCCAGGGCAGCTGCA